ACAAACCGCTGCCGCCCCTCTGCTCCCTGCCGCCCCGAGGCCAGGCCTCGGTGGACTTGTGGGGAACCCGCCCTTGCCTGCACTCCTCCTGAGACCCTCTGTGCCCTTCCCGAGACTCTCTGCACCTCTTCTGAAACCCTCTGCAAACCCCCCTGAGACCCGCTGCTCCCATTCTGAGACCGTCTTCACCCATCTTTAGGCCTTCCACACCCCTTATGAGACTTTCTGCACCCCTCCTGAGACCCTCTGCCTGAGACATCAGACAGGCACCCCAGGAACAGAACGACAGCACAAAGTATGTAGAAAATTCATATACTATTATTCTCCATTGCTGTGATTTGTAGTTCTCAATAGCTGATGGTATTGTTCTGCATTGCTTATTGTCCTTTATAGCTGGTGGTATCCTGCATTGTTGTATATGTTTTGTGTTTTATTGTTTAGTGTATTCTACAAATCTGACTTTAAAAATCAAACTTTGCAATTTTTATGTTTTTATCTTGGTAGCTGGTCTTGTCTAGGGCGCAAAATAGGCTAGCACCAGCCCTGGCTGTCACCAGCACAATGTGCTGCAGGCACTGCCGGGCAGCACATTCTGCTGTGTGAGGACCCTCTCCTCTTAGCCCCACCCCCTGACTGGGGAGACAAGGAAGAGGGCCCTGCTGGACAAGGAAGGTAAGTCTGGTGTGGGGGGTGTGTGTCTGTGTGTGGGATGCTGGTGATATAGTGCTCACTTTTACGCATTGCTGGTGGTATTCGGCATTGTTGTATGATGATTATATAGCAATGCAGAATAGCTCCAACTATGTAGGATTACAAGTCCCAGCAATGCATTATAGTGTGGGGGGAAGGGGGCTGCTGGTGGCATTCTGCATAGCTGACTTATTATAATGTATTGCTTGGACTTGTAGTCCCGCATAGCTGCTGGTATTCTGCATTGATGTATGATGATTATACAGTAATGCAGAATAGCACCAACTATGAAGGACTACAAGTCTCAGCAATGCATTATATTTTTAAGTAGGGATACACCACTGCCAAATACTGGGCATTTTCCCCAAGTACTCATACTCGTGAAAATGCCCCGATACTAAGCGCAGATACCGGTGTTATGTCGAGAACGCCGACGTAGTCGAATTTGCCGACCTCAGCATATGCGCTTGCGCACAGACCAATATTATGGAGGAGAACCGGGATTTATTCACAAAGTATTTCGTTTAAATCGTTAATTGTGACTTAATATTCCATCCTTCATTCATGGATGGCATATTATTACCGCTAACAATTAACCATTACAAACAAATACTTTGTAAATAAATGGCGGTTTCCCCAGTAATCCCGTCTGTACGTAAGCGCAGATACTGGGTCGGCGTTCTCGACAGAACACCAGCACTAAAATTTTAAACAAGCGGCTGCCCGAGGG